CATTTCTATAGTGTTGTCCCATGAAAAGATATAATGAAATATTTGCAAAAATGGGAGGGGTGTACTCACTAATGTGAGATACTGTATCTGTCACAGAGGCATCAGAGTCCTTATAACCAGGTGTGTTTGTATTTTTCCAGTTCCTTCATATTATCTTGGCTGCATTAAGGAAGCCTGCAAGAGCCAATCCAAACTGTGCCTTTGTAAGTCCTGCGGGTAGAACAGATTTGTCTCCAAGAAGGCAAAAACGTGGCGTACTTGGCAGGGGCTGTTCCAACCACTCCTAGATTGCCCCAATCACTTGGGTCCAAAATGACGACACCCGGGGACAACAAACATTTTGACTTGTCATGGCAGTAAATGTACAGGTGGAACTACTCACAATAATGGGCCCATTCCAGCAGATATTGCAACACAATGCATCAATGTTTGACCAATCAAAATATCTGCTCTTAAAAGTTCCCTTCTTCTGACAGTAAAGCAGTATTAACTGTTTTTTTTTTAGCCATTTGGGGACAGCACAGTAAGCTATAAACATTCACATATTATAACCTTATAGAGTTGATATCTTGAAAATGTGAGCAATCGGTTGTCTATTTACACTTGCAGAAAACACAGAGCAACATAAGCACTTATTTGGTCTGATTAATATCCTCTCTGATTCCTGAGGGATATACCTGGCTCTGTAGCTGCTAAATTCTTGACTAAAGCCCCATTCTCCATGGGCAAAAAACCCTGTAACACCTGCTAACATCTGGCTTTTGTATTTAATGGGAAAGGTTACAATTGGCATTTGTTCCGCAGGCAAATTACTTTGCAGTCACGGGTATTTATCTGCTCCAGTTCTGCTCTGATTGGCAGTGATGGAAATATGACGTCTTGGTGGACGTCATTATCTGGCATGATGCAATGACATACTGCCACCGAATATCTGCCCCTGTCCAAGCAGCACACGAACATTGATCCAAATTAGTCTGCTCTGTATTTGAAAGAGAGACTGAATGATAAGAGAAACAAAGAAGAGGTAACCAAAGTAACATTTTCACTGGCCCTCATGCTGCTTTCTACTCTTTACTAACCCTGTTTGTGTTTTCCAGTGCATTTGTGATGCTGAATGTGACACACCGGTAAAAAGAAAGCAAAACAAAGGCATAGTGACAATTTATTTTATTTTAGTTTAGTTTTTATTTGATAGGGACAATGCAATTTCACATAGTTCCAATACAGAGTATAAGACTGATGTGTTGCACAGAGAGTTTATAACTATTTTCAACTCTTGTCCCTAGTGGGGCTTTTACATGTAGACCTAAACTGTCATTAAAAATATACAGTTTAAAACATCTTACAACCACAATACATTGGGAAGGAATCTGTGGGGAAGGAATCTATCTATTGAATCTATTGTCTATGTTTAGCGGTATATCCTGTGTTTAAAAACCCCCACATATATTCACCGATTTGGGTGGAAAAGAGTTCACTAGCTACTCTCTAACTTTATCTGCCTGCTGTTTAGTGCTAGAGAGCAATGAGAGTAAACTGAACAGTAAAGACACGCACTGTAAAACTAAAACAATGAGCTGAAAGATGCTAAAATGCTCTATTAAATGGAGAGACATCGCAATGTTTGGTGATATTTTCTTGTGCCGCTTTAAGTTTAATTCCACGATGCTGTGCAGTGGCTCTGCACCAATCCAAAGAGGTCACCATGCAGTTTGGGATTCACTGATCTAGGAAATGTTTTAAGCGATGTTCCTCCAAAGACGATTAGCTTTAACTCCCTGTCCTCAGACACCAAACTGGGCAGGAACGTGGCTCGAACTTTCCTGGATTACTACAAGCTCAACAACTTTATCAAGGACAACAGACCGACTCACATTCAAAGGTGAAACAGTGTGGCATTATGAAGAGATAAATAAACAGGAACTTTAATCAGTTATCCAAATATGACTTTCATTTTGCATGTTGTTGATACTCAAGCAAATGAATGTTATTTTTGTTTTGCTCTTCCCTGAACTGTACCCCACCGTCTCACTCATACTGATATGTTTTTGTCTCCAGCTCTGAGGTGATGTCCCAGACAGGCGACGGCAACAGAAAGGGCAACGGTTTTGGCAGAGACGCGGCAGACAGAGAGAGGGAGAAGAGCCAGGGTGTCAGGCACTAGACAAACAGACAGACGGACTGACGGACACAGACTGAGCATGTATAAAATGCGGAGCACCGTAGCAGGAGGATCCTTCACACTTCATTGCCTTTAGAAGCTCCACATCTCCCTGGCTATAAAGACTCATTTTCACAGATTTGTAACAGTGGGATGACTGGTACTTGCAGGACTAAAATCAGAACAAGTTTCCTCTTGGGTTATTTAGTGAGTATAAAGTGTGGACGATTGAATGGCGACAGACTGGCGGTTATACCCATCTCAAGTCCATCTGAGGCCTTCATTCAGCACCTCCGTTTTGTTGTTTATTCAATGTTGTTGTAAATAAACGCATGCTGCCCTGTGGTTAATGACTTATTTTATGACTATGGTGTTATTATCTCTGTTGGTATTATAATTAGTCATTAAACACTTAATCATTTAATCACTTGTTGCTTCCTAATCTCAATACTGATAACACTAATGATTGACTTCATATAAATGAGACAGAGAGTATATGAAGAACATTTTGATTTCTTTAGCTGTATTGTTGTGCTGTTTGCATGTATAGAGCTCTGCTTGATCATACAGGCTTCAGCTCTATTCATGGTATCGACAAAGCATTTATTAAAGGTCTAGTCTGTAGGATTCATAGGATTTAGGGGGATATACAGGCAGAAATGGAAAATATAATGTAGCTGCTCCAGAGCAGGTTAACTTAGAGTATCACAGCCTGTCAGCACTCAGACCTCTGATCAATCATATTTCATATCACAACAATTTCATACATACAGAGCCATCCACAGTCTTGCCCCTCCATACCTCTCTGACCTCATTAATATCTCTGTACCTACCCGTACCCTCCTATCCTCTTCCTCCATCCATCTCTCTGTCCCCTCTGCTCGCCTCGTCACCATGGGGGGCCGAGCATTCAGCCGCTCGGTTCCCCAGTTTTGGAACTCCCTCCCCCCTGACCTCCGCAACACGGACTCCTTACCCCTCTTTAAAACCAGACTGAAAACCCATCTGTTCAAACTCTCATACTCCATCTGATCTTTGCATTGTCCATTGTATTTTATTGTTTGTTTTTATCCCTGTTTTTACGCACTTCTGTACTTTTGTAAGGTGACCTTGAGTGCCATGAAAGGCGCCCTTAAATAAAATGTATTATTATTATTATTATTATTATTATTATTATTTATCAGATCACTGAAGAAAAAAGTATCCTGACATGGACAAAAGCCCAGAGTCTCAGGTAAAAAAGAGGAGCCTATTGTTACAGGTCAGTAGAATTTCTTTATTGTTCAGGGCTCTGTCCACTGTTTTTTTAAACAGAGCTCCTAACAATAGGAGAGATCATTTACAATACTTAGTACGTGATTTTAGCAGGATTTGCAAAGTTTACTTTAGTCCGCAGTGATCGCTGACAGTGCTGCAACATTTACACTCTGATTCCATCACTGCAGCTCAAAATAAAAGGACACCCACCTGATAAGAACTAGGATAAAACAGATAATATTTTATTGGTGAAATAATCCACACACTGTGATTTGGCCCCCGTTATTATAAATGCAACATTTCAGTCAGATAGACTTATCAGTCATTAACTTGGCTATTTTTCAGCTTCAGTAGCAGAAACAATCAGGCATCACTTTGAAGAGTTTTATGTGACATATTCATTACCATCCAACTAAACAGCAAAACATACTCTACACTAATGTCACATATAGCCAAGTGATACCTACAAGTAATGTAAGTCTCGACTGACGGTGAATTTTTGGGTAGTATTTTTAATGTTTCTACATTTTCCTTTATAGGATCACAGATTATCGTTTACATCCCACTGCACTGACATTTTACTGTCTTGCAATCCCAGACACTTAAGGTACTGTTTCATCTCATATGATATGAAGCAGCCTATTAATTTCTGGTGATGTCGTTCATAATTAAGTCCCCCACCGCGCTTGTGGCTGGATAGGAAAACCCAGAATCGACTGAACTAGTTGATAACCAGCTTTGTAGTACCGGTTATCCAGATGGCCAGTGTTAGAGTTCGTCAAACCAGATAATGAAAAAATATCCTTGGTAAGTTGAACTGGCTTTGTAGTACGGGCTTCAGGGCCTTATCCACGCAGTCCGCCATGTTTCTACAGTAGCCCAGAATAAACAAACCAAACACTGGCTCTAGATAGGGCCATTCACATTATGGTCACTGTTATTAGCAGTCCCTCTGTGTCAAGCCGAACAGCATACAAAAAAGACAGGTTTTTATCGTGAAGTGACTTTATTATGTGTTTTCACTGGTTTAATTACCTAGGTGTGTTTGTTTTGGAGATATAGAGACCTATGTGGATAATTCAGTTCCTGGTTAAAACCTCATGAACGTCTGGATCTTAAATCACCAGGGAATAAAGGTGAGCACACATTGAATTATTAGAGGAAAAGGGTAAGCACACTTTTGCAGGTGCTGGACTAGCAACCCATCTCTAATATGCCAAACAGCATTGCAGAAACACTGATTTGGAAGAGACCTCTTGGAATAATTTGGCTTCCGGTAAAAATTTGAAGGAATCTTGATTGGGAGAAGTTTCAGCTGGTTGCAGTCTGAAATCTTCACTACTGGATGCCATTAAATGCCTTTAGATTTTACACACTGTTCTTTTAAATAACTTTTTTTCACATTTACCTGTGGATTGCACATTGGTGAATATCTAATGCATACAGGTTTGATCTATTGTTTAAATGGTGGTTTGCTTTGTTTTTTTGTGTGAAGTCAAATATGTCTGTGTTTGTGTTTGAGTGTGCAGAGAGGGAGGTTCTGATTTGTCACTTCTTGGTCACGTGACTGTACATCCGCTCTGCGACTGTTGCTGTCTGGCAGCTATGACAACGAAGCTCAAAAGTTTGTATGAATGGCTTCAGTGAAGAAGAAGTTGTCCTCCTCTAAAGTGCACCAAAAGTCTCTGAAATGTACCGTATACTTGGACATTCAGACAGTAAGTTCATCCTGACGCTGCGCCTTCGCTACTAAACTCAGAAAGCGACTTGGTGCTGTGCGGTAGTTGACGTACGTTAAGCTAGCTAGCGAGTTTACATCCTCTTCCCTTATCGTTACCCATACCCATTAGCTAACAAGCTAACTAAGTAACGTTATCTAGCTAACGGCTGTAACTGAACATGTAACGTGAAATGTGTTTAAATGTCGTAGTATGACTACCTTACTGATTTAGCTCACCAGAAATGTTTCCCTAAATCCTCCTGAACATTATGACTGTCATAGACCATGCTGTGATTTAGTAGCCTCCGTTGTCGCTTGTTTACTAAATAATTAATTTAAAACGAGCTAAATCTTAGCTAATGTTAGCATTCAGTTTAAATCACTGCTTAACGCATAATGATACCTGAACATAAAAAGTTCCCCTTGCTTTCTGTGGCTGACATCATTGGTTCATAATGTTGAGGACTAAATCAATCTATTTAACTAGTCTTAATATTTTTTTGCTGTTAAAAGAAATTATGTTTAGGCACATTCAAATTTCTCTTTTGCTTTGTTTTATTCCAGTCATTAACTAATGTGTTGCCTTTGAACATATGCTTTAAATATTGAGCCAGAAAGTTTAAATTGTCCTCAAAGCATATTTAAGTTACAGCCACTTTGAGCTCACTGATTTTGAAATGTGTGACCTGGAAGTTGATTTGGTCTCATTTCCACCTTGTTTACCAAAAATAATTCTACATAAAGGTCCAGTGTGAAGGGTTAAGGGGGTATAGTGGTGGAAATGCAATATAATATTCATAATTAATTTTTCATTTGTGTGTAATCACCTGAAACTAAGAATCATTGTGTATCCATTACCTTAGAATGAGCCACTTACGGGGCGTCGGTGGCTTAAAGTGCAAACATTTCTGGTGAGCTATTAGTGGTAGAGCAGGCGCCCTATGTACAAGGCTGTTGCCGCAGCGGCCCGGGTTCGACTCCAGCCTGTGGCCCTTTGCTGCATGTCTCTCCCTCTCTCTCTCTCTCCCCCTCTTTCACACTTCACTGTCCTATCAATTAAAAGCAAAAAATGCCCTTAAAAAAATCTAAAAAAAAAAAAAAAAAAAAAGAATGAGCCACTTACATCTACACATGGGGTCTTTCCCAAACCACCCCTTACCCTCTCTCTACCCACTTTCACACTGAGTGCCTTCCCAAGCCAACTAATGAGTTATAAAACCCTCCAACAGCAAGTCTGCATCAATGCCGACTTCCTGACCATGTGCAACACTGTATTGTGTTTGTTATGGAAGATGCTCCATATAAATAAGGTTCTGCGACATTGTGTTTAGGATTAAATATATGCTTCTCTGTTTTCTAGAAAACAGTAGCGTTCATTTGATTGTAGTGCTGAATATTTACAAGAGCTGTTACAAAATCCAAGCAGCTTCTAAACATCAGGGAGAAAAGATAAAAGATATTTACAAAAAAAAGGAAAAGAAAAGAAAAGCTACCAAAGAAGCTGTGGAGTAAGTTGTATTTCTATTTATTTTTTATATGTATATCAGTTTATCACTTTATTTCTTTTAATGAGAAAACCATAATATACAACAATTAAAGTAAACAATAGCAGCACAGATCAAATATAAGTGCTACAAATACATATGAAGAACATAAAATTTGGAGTCTTATTTTTCTCCATGGTTACGGAAAGTAGCGACAGTTCCCTTTTCTGCCTCAGAGAGGGAAGTTTGTCCCAAAGCTGCAGCTGTATTTATCCCCTACACCTTGATGGCGGAGTTTCATCTAGCTGTGAGGGTGACCACAAACAGAATTACAGTCCACGGACTAGGAGTGGGTAGGGTCCGTTGTTGGAAAAGCCCATCGAGTGGGTCCTCTTTCACTGAGTTTCTACAGGAGCTCAGAACGGACAAATCAAACACTGGCTCTGTATAGTGTAGTTGTCACAGTTGTCTTCATGCTTTGCACACAGGAATAGTTACAGTTGGTCGCAATATGCGACCTTAGCAGCTAGATGCCCCTAAATCCTACACACTGGAGCTTTAATTAGTATTGCAGGTTAAAAATACATGAATCTTTCAAGTAAAAATTTTGTATTGAATCCTCTATTTCCTCAGAGGATTGCACACCTTTGGTTCGCAAAGCTGAATTTTTAAAAATAGATTTTGAAATTTTAAACTTGTTGGGTTGCAGTAGCACACTGACGGACAGTCTCTTTTTGCCATAAGATAAGAAGAAACCTGCCAATAAAGGACACATACAAGAACATAAGATTGCCTGACCTGTCACTGTAGTCACCTCATTACCTTGTTTGTGTGCAGGTCACATGTCCAGGAGTGCTCCTGTCCAAGAAAAACGATATCTACCTCAGTGTGCGTATCATGGGCCAGTACAGGAAGACTCCATGTTTGCCACCTGTGTTCCCTTTACACTTCCAACACAAAATGGTGTTTGTCAAGGTGAGAGTAATAACTTACAGAAGCAAGAGCTGTCTCCATTACTTAGGTACAAGATGTAGAATCATCATATGTCTGTGTCTTCTTTTGTCAGATATAGCAACAGGGAGGACTAGTGCATATTTTTCCGATATCAGAAGAGATGCATGTCATGTCGTCATGTCACATCCCAGATCTTATGTTGGCTCCTATTAATACCTATCCATTGTACTTTTATCTACAAATGACAAAAGGGTCAATAAATCTCCATCCTAGTTTTCCGACTTCTCTTCTTGCATACACTGCAGGCTCTGACTGGCTTGTTTTTTAAGTCGGAGAATTCATACCAACAACTCTCCAATTTGAACATGACTGCCCCAACTCTTGATAAAAGAGGCCATCTTTTCCCTGGGGAGAATGGCAGAGTTAGATACCGGGCTGTCTGCCTCATCTTGTTATAAGTATTGATTCGCTTTGTCTGTTCTCTGTTTTACCAGACTTTCCCCGGCGTTGTTGACCCTGCTGATGTAGCTGACCTCCTGGAAGGTAAACGGCCGTTTGGGATTTGCCTTCTCATTTCTTAGCCCTGAATCCTCTGCTATGCAAGCTTATAGGCTATTAGCTGTGATACTGATCATTAGCTCACAGTCTGTTTGTGCTTTCCTTCCTCTTAGCTGACACAACATCTTTTGAGCTGATTCAGTTGGTGCCTCCAGGTACGCTTTCTGATGATGCCATATGGGCATTTTAAGTCCCCACTGTATCTAGTCATTACTCTGCAAAAAAAGGATCTCTAACTTGGATTGTGTGTATGTGTGTGTTCCTGTTTACTGTCTGTCTGTGTGTGGTTTTTAGAGGGTGAGGTCCTAGCCATGATGGAGGAGAGCAGCAGAGATTTCCTGTATCCTGGTCCCAGACTGAGCTCCAGGGAAGGAGCTGCAGAGAGAGAGATACTGATGAAGAGATCTTCCTCCTTTCCTGTAGGCTCCTTTCCATCTATTCCTTTTATTTCTCTTTTAACCCTCCTTCTAAGACTTGCACCCTTACTCATCAAACTTCTAAGAATTGCACTTAAGAATGCTCCAAAGAGTCAACCTAAGAGTAAAAAAGTTATTCGCTGAGTGTGAGCAACAAGACACATTTATCAAGTGACTAATTCCTACCCACAGCAAAGTGTAAACAGAACCTTTAAAGGCAGGTCTCAAGTGATCACATGATTGATAACAGGTATGCTGTTTTCAGAGAGAGAACAGGCAATCAGAGATATTGATTTACCCTGCACCTGGGGCACGTTCAGTCTGAAAATGGTGTGCAACCTTTTGCTTTGGTTTCTTGTGTTGTTTCCTCAAAACAGTTTGCAATGGGTATGAAGGTACATTTTCTTTCATTAGGTGAGTGTGTTACTGGGTCTGCACCATTAGCATGCCAGCGACGCCTGTGGTGCACCAAGTAGGCGGAGTCTGCACACCATTTGACAGTTATCAGAGCTGGTTGGTACACCGTATCTGCTGTTAAATTTCAGCAGCAAGAGCAACGTTTACGTCACCACGACCACGTAGCTCATACAACCACAAACAAGTCAAGGGAGACTGATAAGACAGAGAACCCATACAGTTAACTAGGAAAACTACCATGGCTTTTGCCCAGTAGGCCGACATTGTTGTTTGTTTCGTCAGCTAACAACTATGTGGTTGCTGCTGCCGGCCGATAGCTTACACTCCTTTTGAACAGCGTTCCTGGCCCTCTCTGTTACATGTGAAGCGGTGCACCGACGCAGTGAAATGGAGCAGACCCACTCAGTCAGCAGCGATCTGTACATAGGAATCCATTTTCACATCTGAAACCTTGATACACGCCCTCGTTTGAGGACTTGGCTCAGATTCCGGAGTTACTCCTTAACTAAGGAATGTGATCCCGTTTGATTCGGCGATGGGAACCTCTTGCAACCACATGCCTTTGCTGACATTGACCTCAGCAGGATTCTAGCCCTGGACCTTACGCATAACCATTACGCTAGGGAGGCCCCCAGCGACGTGTACATAAAAAAATGGCAATTAAACTGTTTGTGTTTATTTCACACTTGCTTTTGCAGTGTAAAACAGCGTAAAGCCCCTTTGAATTAAATTAAAACCCTCCTGTAGTGAAAGGCAGTGCACTTGCATACTACAGCAGGCTGTTCAACGCACCAGTGTTTCAGTCTAAATAAATGTTTTGCCACATTTTGTCAAAGCTTAAATTGCCCCTACCCATATCGTATACTATTTTAAAAAATCCCTACAGTTCGTTTCATGATATGTTATTCTGCAAAAATGTGTATTTTAAAGAATTTATCTTTTGTGTGTGAAATCCTTAATATTTTTTGAGTAATTAACATGGAAATGAACAACTATCTAATGTGTTTGAAATATGTGTGTATATATAGGAATCTGGCTGTAATTAAAAACAAAATTCTTCTGGCGTTAGGTGAGTTACACCAGAGAAACACTGTAGAAACATGACGGTGTAACATGGCGGACTCTGGTAGAGGACCTGCTTCTTGTATGGATATGACTCATTCAAACAAAAAACCTAACAAAAAACCCAACCCAACGATGCTTAGTTTCAGATGCTTATACGCTAGTGAAAACATAACTACGAATCTTATATTCCATTTCTTCTAGTGCATCCCCCTAAATGCTACACACTTGTCCTTTAAGTAATTATTTTTAGAGATTTGAAAAACAGGTTTTGTTTTAAAGTTATGGATTAGGAGTAAAAGTGAAGGATTTTTACTTTTATCTTTGATTTAAGACCAAAATGTTACCTTTCACAGTTTATTGCATGTCAGTGCATGCCATGCCCGCAGAGGTACCTGAGCTACTGCTGAATTAGTTAAAGGGGGGATGTCAGTTGATGCGGTGAAACGTCCATGTGTCAAAGTGACCCCACATTGTGCTCACTGTGTGATCTGGCTTGATTGGCACCAATATTACACGTGTCATTCACAGACTGGAGAAAATTTTTACTCTCTTTAAGTGAGTCCTAATCTCTGTGCACATGACAGGACTCATTACCAAGTGATCAGTTCGAAAGTACAGTTTTGTCTTAGACAAAATGAAGTAATTTCTTCAAAATATAACAACAGCATTTTCCATATAGAGCTGTTGACTGTCTTTGCTATACACACAGAAAAAAATAAACACAGAACTTTATCTCTTTTCTGTCACTCTCCATCTCGTCATTTTTGCTTTTCCCCCTCCTCTTGTTATATCATCTCTTTCTCTTCCCACCACCTCCTCCTTTCATTCCTTCATCTCTCTGTGGCTGCGAGTTGCCTTTCTATCCTCCCCTTGTCCTCCGAGGCACTAACTGGCATATTTAAATGTCTTTAAACACCATTCCCCTCACCGTTGCTTTTATGTGTTTGTGTTTGAGGCCTACATAGCAATTTAGATGTCTCTTTCCAAATGCCATATTATTTAAACATCACTGGAGCCTTTCTCTTTTCTGCAATTTGTTTTTCTCAAGCCAGGAGTAGATTGAAGATTTGTGATTGTAAATTGGTGTTCCAGGCAGTGCTATTATCTGTGCGTTTGTCTTCATCTCCTTGTTGAAGGTGTTGTGTTTGTTCCTATTGTCTCTCTCTCTCTAGGGAATCTCCCCCAAAGTGGAGTTTGCTACAACATCAGTCATAGAAGAGAGTGACGGCAGAGACAGCTGGCCTGCGTCATCTGTAAGTGTGTCCTTTTATTACATCTCATAGGTCCATACGTACACACACATAGAGACACACAAACATACTGTGGCCAGGTCTGTAAATATGTTGTACCTCTAGTTTATCTGCTTTATGTCTGTTGCTGATTTGTAAAACACTCTGAAAAACAAACCTATTTTTACACATACATTTTGTTGTCTGTTCATGGTCTTTCAAAACCAGCTTAATCAAAACCTAGGCAGTTAAAATCCATCAAAGTGCCACTCATAAGTCAAGCACACAGTGTGTTTACCAGCCTGTGTGACAGCTCCAAATGCTACAATATTTGAACAGATCTGTGTAAGTGTTGACCAAAGCTAGAACAGTGAAGATTCATCTCTAGAGGGCTCTAATGAGTGGTATCACTTGCCATCAGATTTGTCTGTTTTCACCATACATACCCACCTTCTATTGTTGCCATGGCTACTGCAACTATCTATCCATACTGGCAGTGTTTCAAGGGTATCTGTTCTCTCCTTGTGAATGTAATTATGTGGAGGCAGATCTGTGATGCTGATATCAAGGCTTCTCTCACATCTCCAACTAGCTGGGACAATTTTTGTCACAGTACCAGTCATTCAGATATTTTTTTTTACATTTACTATCCAAGATGAAGGTCACCTACATCTGCTGCTGTGTCCTTGTGGATTTTAAGAGGTAACTGGGTCCAGCTGTGTAAAATAAAATTTTAGTTTGTGAACTTTTTGAATCGTCTTTTCTGTCCATCTTGTCTTTTCCTTGTATGGGCACTCCCAAGTTTTGTTTTACGACATGTTCCCATCTTCTATTGCAGTTTTTAGTGTAGCTGTTTTGAAAATAAAAAGCATTTTTATTTTTCCAGCAAACATTCTCTGGTTCCAGCTCTAAATTGTGATGATTTGCTTCTCTTCTTTGTCTAAGTTTTAGACTGTTAGTCAAATTTAAAAAAGCAATTTGGTGACATCACCTTGGGATTTACATTAAGTTGTAATGAGCATTTTTTTTTTTTTTTTTTTTTTTTTTTTAGAGTTTTTCATTAGTCAGTAATAACTGCCAGAGTAATTGATAATGAAAATAATCCTTCGTTGCAGCCCTGCTTAAGTTTCATCTACTCCTCCTTGGCCTCATGTAACACTGAATGTGTGTGTGTGTGAGGTGTGTACATACAGAGGTAGTTTCAGGTCAAATGATGCTCCAATTCTAGACTAAAAAAAGAGTGTTACTTAAAAAAAAAAAGCGAGAATGGAAATCTTTCACAAACAGTCCTGTTTGTAACATATGATCCATCACACAGCGGTTGGCATGTTGTGCCAAAAACACTACCATGCATTTCCCAGGTGCAGTAACCTAAGCTAAGCTATTTGTTTAAATGGGATGTCATTGACAGTGAAGCAGATTGTCAGAGTGTTCTCCTGGCCCCTCAGGGGGATGTCTGGATCAGAGCACCACTGTGGCTGTCAGACAGTAGAATTTCTCCATTTTCTCTCTCCTAATGGCTCCTCAGCATAGGCATTTCCCTGACTGCCAGCCCACCCAGCTGACAAACCTTGTCCTATTTTAATAGAGATTTAGAGTAGGAGTAGCAACTTCCACAAAACCCTGTGAAACTCTGTGTGTAGTGATAAATATACACTCTTTTCGCAATGTCTTGCTCTTTCTGGTTCTCTTGTCCTTTGTTGATTGTCATCAATCTCGGTTGAATATCATTCTTAAATCCAAAAGTCACTTTTAGCCATTATAGCAGCCAGAGGTGGCAGTTTTGTTCGGTCTGACTGTCAGCCTGTCAGCCCACCACTTTGGTCCTGACTGAAATATCTCTACAATTGTTGGATGGATAGCCATGGTGATCCCCTGACTCTTCCTTTTGCTCCACCAGCATGTCAAAAATGGGTCCAAATCTACTGGACGGATTGGTACAATATTTTGTATGGACATTAATTGTTCCAAGACGATGTATTTTAATGACTTTGATGATCTTCTGACTTTTTCCCACTTGCTGCATGAGGCTGACATTTATGTTTTTTTGTGAAATGTAAACAACTAATAGTTTGGCTGTTCATCTAGTACCACCATCTTTAAAAATATTAAACTAATGACATTCCCATCAATGTCAGCCTCACTTTGTGTTTAGAGCTAATAAGCAAATATAATCATGCTAAAATACTAATGTGGTGATTAAATAAAGATTACACCTGCTCAGCGTCAGCATGTTAGTATCATGGATGTGGTTAGCATGCTGAAGTTAGCATTTAGTGTAAACATGCTGCATGCTGTGGACATAGCTGCTAATCACATCAGACAGGCCTCAGTTGATGACGAGGAAACTGACTGACTCTCAGTGTCCGTCCGAACTGACAGAAGAGCTGAGAGAAGTAAGAGATGGTGGTAGATGTGGGGGTGGGAGAGCATACTTTGCTTAATTTTATTAAATCAGACCAATCTCAAATGGCAACCTCGATGAGGATTTATTCATCATTTAGTTTCTCTTAAAAATAGTTTTAATGTTGTGTGATTTCCCTAATTAGCATTTAGATTATCTTTGTTTTACAGCCAGGTAATGCCTCTTTATCATATTAGACTGGAGATGGCCATCAAATGCAATTAACATTTTATCTTAACTTATTTATCCCCGGTTGGCATTACCCGCAGGAAGTGGGATATTGCATTGGAGAATGATGTTAGTGGCCATTAGAGTTATTGAAGTAATTCTGCAGAGGTTGTCTCCATGGCAGTGCCGACTGCGAGAGCTGTTGTTGTAACACTTAAGCTGAATGATTTAGCTAATGGTTTAATGGTTTTGTCCAGGGAAAACAAGTCTGTGTCGAGAGTGAGAGCAGCTGCCTTAATGGTGAAAATGGCTGACGCTTGTGTAAAGTATCAGCACTGTGGCCTGCGTAGAAATCTGAACTGCTGAGACAGATGTTAGGTGTCACCTCAAAATGGAGAGCTGTGAGGGTGGTTTGACATGTCAGAAAAACATATGATATTTTTTATTTCTCTCATATTCTTTCCCTGCATTCCCTAGACTTGCTGTCTTTCTCCCTTGAGGACATCTTTAAACCCATCCACACAGACTTCACCAAAAAAGTCTTTGCCGTCCAGCAGGCATTGTTCCAAAATGCATGACACAAACTGTGTCTCTGGGAAATGTGGGAAAGAAAAGTTAAATGCTGAGGCTACAATTACAAACTCTGGATCGTCCTCAACACCCAGACACTCCTCGTCCTCATCCCCATCCAGCCGACATCCCCAGAAAAACAAGAATGAAAGAAAGCACACTTGTAGAGTTTCTGTAGAGTCTGGCTACCAGCAGCCCACAGTTTCCTCAAGGACACGAGCCTTGTCCCCTTACACCCACCGCAAGATGTGCCAGCTTTCAGAGGACGCCAGGCAGAGACTCAGCCATCTCCAGCTGGGGCCTCACCACTTCAGGAAGGAGACTGAGAGCCAGCCGCCCTTCTTGGTTAGTAACATTAGATATATTCCTCTGAACTGAAGGCAACTGACAAAAAAAGTGATGTGACGGTTTGTTTAATGCTAATAATACACGTGTTCAGCAGACAGGGGTTAAAATTAATGGGATCCTGAATTGATGTAGTTCAAACCTCAGTGGGAGCTTCCCAAAATTTAACATAATCTAGTGGGCAGATTAAGTGGAGGGCATAATAAGAGAGCAGTGTTAATCTTTTTACCTGAGCCGTTAATGGATTTTGACGTCATGAAAATGTTTCACTGTGTGCGCATGTAATACGGCCTATTATCCTCACTGAGGGGCTTGAGTGCGCTTTAATAGCACACATCCTGGATTTCGGCTGGTACACAGTTATTTGTTAACACTTTAATTACGGTTGTATCACTGCTATGAGATATTTACATATAAAAGGGAGTGATTTTCTGATCACACAGCCGTGGGGAATCTAAAGTTGATGGACAAGAACAACACAGCCTCTAGTTCTGTGCTCCTCCCTCCCTCTGCTCCCCTTTGTATTCATGCTTCTTCATTTACATCAAATCTAATCCTGAGGTATGAATATCAAATCCACTAGCATGCTGTTATTAAAAGAAACGATTAGGTAGAGAGTTGTTTGTTTTTGTCACACACATGAATGGAATTTACTAGAATACAACGGGCGTTTTATTAAAGAGATGAGCGTGTTTTTTCCCGCTCTGGTTTTCCTCGGGGAATCTTCTGTCGACAATTAACCCTAGTAATTGAGAGTCAAGCTGCAATTAACAAATAGATACCTAATGAAGTAGCTTAGCCCCATGGTGAATGCATTATCAGAGCCTCAATTCCCTGTTTGTTTGTGTAGAGGGAAGCACACTCCCAACCCGTGCTCTTTCAGATAGGTGTTTTTTCTCTAAAATGTTGTGTCTTTGTCTGCTTTATGTCTTATTGTGATTTTCTCAGTGAAATAATTTGGGGTTTCAGACGACAAATGGCTGAACAGTGAAAGTATTTGTGACAGCTTTTCTTTTATTCTGCACAAACCAAAGAAATGAAAAGACATTAGTGAATGTGATGAATGTATTATGTCGTTGATTTCATTTATGCAATACAGCAGACCAAACATTTTTCTGTTTTCTTTGCGTCATTTCTTATTTAAAGTTGGTAGACTGTGTGATTGATTAATGTGTGAGTATCAGGATGCTGTTTGAAAGTGAAGGGCCCGAGAGCCAAAACAACCTCACTGTGTTTTTACTATGTAGGCAGAACATTTCAAACTACAACAGTGTAAAGTTTATGATGATATTGTTTGACAGCAGATTATTTTTTTCTTTTGTGTTTTATCCCAGGTGTCTCGTTGCAGTAGTGCCTCTGTGATGGGGACTCCTTCCTCCCCTCCACAGAACAGTAGCATCCATCGACACTCTCTCAGCTTCAGAGCTGATCACACAGGTGGGCCTTCATGCTCACATGCAAAAACTAATATACATACACTGTTACACACAGGAGGCCATTGTAGGGGTGGGCGATGTATCGACTACTCTTGATGTATCACGACTTATTCCACATGTGATATATATAAACTGACTATATTGCAAACCCCAAGTATAAATTGTTACGACATTTTTTTAAGCCACCGGTATGACACTTTGAGTCGGCGTTTCGGTTCTCTCGCTCTCTTCTATGGCTCTCTCCCTCTCACAGGCACATATACATAAAGAAAGACTCACGAACATGATACCTTACACACCTTCCTCCCATTCTGATCCATCTCTCCTCTGTGTGAGCAGGCAAGACGAGGCATGTTTTTATTAGGGATGGGCAACACAAGCAAAAACACTATTCGAAAATCGTGGCAAGTATTCGACAATTTTTCGAATAATCACCGCTGTAGCAATCCTAGACTGCCCTCTTGCAGTTAGGAGCTGAATTGCATGTCAAATAAAGGGGGGGGGGGGAATAAGACGGCGAATAGTAATAGTCGCATTAAAAAATCGATTTTTCAAAAATAAAACGACTATTCGAAAATCGAAAATCGTGACCCATCCCTAGTTTTTATATCACAGCTCCAGACCAAGATTTTTTGCGACCACGGAGCACTAGTGTGACTTGCACATATGTTATAGGGATGGGTCACGATTTTCGATTTTCGAATTGAAAAATCGATTTTTTAATGCGACTATTACTATTCGCCGTCTTATTTCCCCCCCTTTATTTGACATGTAATTCAGCTCCTAACCACACGAGGGCAGTCAAGGATTGCTACAGCGGTGTGAGATGCTCTTCTACAAACAGGAGAAACATGCAGAGACTACTACTCCGTGAGGTATGTCCGCAGTCATTCGGGCTTTCATAGTTGAGTGCACTTCCGCGTTGTAGTTTCCTATTAAAATGTCCGTGAAAAATCCCTGCGATGCTAAAAATACATGCCGAGCAGTCACTGGTGTGCGCGCGCAGGGCTTGCGGACGTCGGCTTTGAGTCCGCACGGACCTCCGTGGAGTCCGTTCTGCCCGAGTATGTTCGGGCCTTTAAAGATGAATGGATCTCTGTGTGTGTGGCTCGGGGGGGGGGGGATTATTCGAAAAATTGTCGAATACTTGCCACGATTTTCGAATAGTGTTTTTGCTTGTGTTGCCCATCCCTGATATGTTAATATATGAACTGGAGAGCTGTTAGTTTGTTTCCAGTTTCCAGTGAAAAAATCATACACATTTAATGGCACTGCTGTAACAGTTTAACTTGATGAGTTTACCGATAGTGTGAGCTGGTGAAGTATGTGTTTTTGTACCCGCGGGGCTCCAAACCACAACTTGCAGTCGCATTTTGTAACCACGGAGCACCACTGCGATTTGCAAATAATATTGATATATGAACTGGGGAGCTGTTTGTTTGTTACCAGCTTACAGTGAATAAATCTTAATGTTTAACTTTGTGCTAATTGCTCACTGTTGACCGGAAACCTTTGAGTTCACAGCAAACACATCAACATTTCCAGCCTGTGGCGAGCCATGTGCTGTAAAATAAAACCACCAGTGGTTTCACTTTGATTTATTTGATTATAACAATACCTCATTTTATTTTTAAACTTTATACTGACTGTAGTTCATTTAATAATTTTGTATTTCAGTTGTCTGCAGTAGTTTAGAGGAGATTTCAAAATATCGTGATATATATATCGTGTATGGCAATATAGCATAAACATTGCTGTATTTTTGTGAAAATGTGTCTATTTTCTGTACTGATTTGATGTCTTTGTGTGCACCTTTTGTAACATGAAGTCTTTTAAAATGAATATTGGACTGCATTTTTATTTTTGGTTTGTTTAGTTTAGTTTTATTGAGGATAATAGCAATGACCATAAAATGGTGTCTGACCTCTTTATGTCATAGTGTCATTATGATGCAAAGCTACATAAAGTATACAGCATGGATGTATTACGAAGACTTTGTACAGCGTTGGAGGCAGGACCTCGTTCATTCCTATGAAAGATGCTCAGTGGCGCATGACGTCAAAAACGTTCAATTTTCGCGTATAAAATTACCTGGATGGTTGGCACTGCTTTCACATCATTGGGCCCACAGAGCAGACACACTAGAGACTTCTGCTGGCCAAGCCGCCTGCATTTGGTTTAGGCCTCCACTAACTTGAATGGGGCTAAAGTAATTTAATCATGCCGTTCTTCTAGACCATGTGATATCTGACCAAATCAATCAAATTAGATAGTAAATCTAGTCATTTTGTGGGGTTTGTGATGTCTGAAAAAGGTATCCACTGATTTACAGACGTCTCTTTTACAATGTAAGTGAATGGGAAATGTCTTTGGGCTCAATGGCTTCCCATGACTTGTTGTAATTCCACTGTTTGGCCACTACTAACATTGGCTTCAAAGCCTGGTGCGCTTCCTTGGAGTCTGGGTGGTGCATGAAGCCAAAAAAGCTTGATTTCCATGGTAATTAATTACCCTGATCTTCCACATCGTGGGGTTCATAGAGCAAGCGTACTAGAGCTCTACGGTGCTGGATCAGCTAACTTCTTCCAGCGGAGCGGCTAACTTCTGGCTTAGTCCTTCACTAACTTGAATGGGAATAAAAATGATTTTATCGTGCCGCTCTTCTTGACTTGACTTTCTGAATGTTATCGGACCGAATGGATCAAATCCCTAAAGTACAAACAATAATAGGGGTTATCATGCTTCATATCATCATGTGACGGTCCTAGATGTTGTAATGCCACGTTCGGCCACTATTAAGAATTAGCTGTTCCTGGGGATTTGGTATACACAGAAAGCATGCCTGTTTACAGCTGCCCCTTATGCAGGCCAAGTTTCACTTACACTTGCTTATGTTTGCAGAACAAACTCTGCTTCTTATTCAAATGAAGAACTGTAGATGTAACACAGTCCAAAAGCTGAGTTTTCTGTTTTCACAAAACTTTTAACTTGTCTTTGTCATTGTAGATTCCTCTCTCCTGGGGAGTTACAGACCAAGAACAGCCAGAGTAAGTCTAATTATAACATTTCAAACCAGAGAGAGCCTGACTAACCAAATTATATATTCACACTGTTTTAGACATTTTGTTCTTAGCAAAGTATCCTGAAGTGATTCTAATGAACTATTTGTTATCTATTCTAATCTTCTCATTTTTACACTTTTACTGGACATTTTCTTAATTTTGTGAACAAATGTCCAGAAAAACTTAACTTAAACCCCTGTTGCCCTGTGACCTCTTTCAGGTGAAATCAGGTTCTGTGAGGGTCCAGTCATCTCCAGAGACACACTCAAGACTTGAAGCCCAGACCAAAAGCCCTGAGAGCAGTGCTGCCTTAGATCAGTCCACACTGACCATGTCCAACTGCAGAAGTCCTCTAAATCTCAGCCAGTCCCTCAGAGAAAGGTAAACGTTCTAGATAATGCAACCCTTTCCCTTGACCTGACCTTGAAAATACCAGAAAGTTCTTCAAGTGTTTTTGTAAAATGATATGTTAGAATAAAAACCACTTTAATGGGAAAAAAGAAAGACCAAAAAGCAATTTAGCAGCATGATAATCAATGTAACAGCCACAAAATGTGATCTAAACTTTTATATGTTTTATTGGGAGAACCTAAAATGTTCTTTTTCTGACTTTTCTGGCCACAGAACCAGCTGATTTTGTTCACACTCACACCAAAGCAGGAAATAACATAATCCTCTTTATTTGTGGTGTTTGCCCGGAATATTTCCTGATCCATCTGTGCAAATTATTGGTGTTTGCCCAAAAGATCTTAAAAGCAAAAGAGGCACCTGTATGAGTTTCCAATTACAGTATATGGCAAACACATGGCAATCCCATGAGATGTTAGTCATACACTGCCGCTGCTTTGTGTGTGCGTATGTGTGCCAGCTCATACACATCCAATCTTTAATTTTGATCAGACTCGACAGGCAGGATGAATTCCCCTCCACCTTTTAAATTACAAAAGCTGATGTCTTGTCATGTTTGTTCATTACTGAGAGAGGAGGCAGAGAGAAGGGAAAACAAAAGAGGAAAATGGTATTGATTTGTGTTTCAGCTTGAGTCTGATGCATTTGACCCGATGCACGCTTTAATACATTCAGAGAGACCTTGTCATCGATCACGGCAGCTGCGAGTTGAACACACCAACGCGACCGATGTTCCGCTTTGTTTGTTTGTTTGTTTCTGCTCTCCTTTCCCCTTCCCCTCTGCTCAGTCCATAAGTAAACATTAAAATCAATAGACAATCTTAAACTGCAAAGTAAATTGTAGGAAATGAATGATACTTTTCTCTCAATTGAAAACGCGACAGGAGTTGCAGGGTGGGAGATTAGAGCAGGCCTTTGTAGATTCCTTCCAACAGGGAGAGGGGCACGTCTTACCACGAATCTTTGATCTATAAAGAAAATGACAGATGCCAGTGGCAACGTTTGCTCCCTAAGCCCCGAAGTCTCAGTCTATTCATGTCTCTGGATGATTTGTCCTTGATGACTTTTTGAAGCAGGTAGCGAGTTTATCTGATTACAGATGAAAAGCTTCCATTCCCTCACCGCGAGCCAGGCCAAGACACCAGCCAGTCAGTCACACAGTCATCACCCCTCCACTCCCAATAAATAGATGGGGATGAGAGGCAATACTGAAATTTATTACTGTTCACTTCCGTCTGTCTGTCAGTGCAAGATTTCATAACTGCCTGTGGCCAACTCCCAGACTCATTTATATTGTATTGATGAAGCACATTTATGCCTCCAGTTCATATGCACCATTGGTTCTGTCAATTCTGGAATTACTTTTATTTTTTCCACTAAAGGTTGAATATAGAGGAAAAATGAATGTTTTGATGGAGGAAACAGTATGTTGTTGTACACAGTGTACTGGTAGTTTCATCTTGGCATCAGCTCTTACATCTTGTGTTGTGTTACAGCACAGACTAGTGGACAAAGGGTATACCCGTGACAACCTCTTGAAAAAAGACAGGCATTGTTTGGAAGTTAGATATTTATATTTTGATAATCAATGAATTTTTAAAGTCATTTTCCAAGCGAAAAAAAAATTTGGATACAGCCTCACTAATGTGTGGAATTGCAAAATTTCTGTGTTTTATATTATTGAAATCCAGTATTTTCTTTTAGAGTTATGATTACATATCATATATAATTTGAAAATAAACAAGATAAGATGCCTTCATTTACATTTATCATTACTTTTGTATGACCTTCTTATATACTATATTATGACATTTATACTATGACATTTTTATGTACTATACTATGACATTTTTGATATTTTTATGTCATACTGTACTATAAAATTTTTTAACATACTATACTGTGACATTTTTATATCATACTATAGCATGACATTTTTGACATTTTTATGTCATACTGTACTATAACATTTTTACGTCATACTATACTATGACATTTTTGACATTTGTACATCATACTATACTATGACATTTTTGATATTTTTATGTCATACTGTACTATAACATTTTTTAACATACTATACTGTGACATTTTTATATCATACTATAGCATGACATTTTTGACATTTTTATGTCATACTATAGTATGACATTTTTGACATTTTTATGTCATACTATACTGACATTTTTGACATTTTTATGTCATACTGTACTATAACATTTTTACATCATACTATACTATGACATTTGTATATCATATTATATTATGACATTTTTACATCATACTATAGTATGACATTTTTGATATTTTCATGACATACTATACTAGGACATTTTTTTGACATTTTTATGTTATACTGTACTATAACATTTTTATAACATACTATATTGTGACTTTTTTTTTTTAAATACTGTGATTTTTTTTATCATATTATACTATGACATTTTTACGACATACTATTCTATGACATTTTTGACATTTTTATGTCGTTCTATACTATGACATTTTTATATCATACTGTAGTGTGGCTTTT